TGAAACTCTCAGTAATGCAGAGTGTCTGTCTTCATACAGACACAGTTCCCCATTAGTTCACTCAAACTGGAATAGCATCAACCTAGCTATAGGTAGGCAGTTCTGCATGTGCTACAGTGCTTGGTGCTCCAACACCTGCTGTAGGCGTGAGATGACCATAAACTCTTCTCTTCTTGCAGGGTATTGAGCGACTCAAAAACCAAAAGCCAACGTGGGAGAAGATCAGCGGCTGGGAAGGAATGAAGCTGGCATTTGGAGGTGCCTTCTCCCTGGGTTGGTTCAACCCTTTCTCAAACCTGAACTGCGAGAGCCCAGCACCTGCTGAAGCAGCTCCTGCGTCTGAAATAATGACCCAAGAAGAAATTGAGCAGTTTCTGGCTCGAGATGTTGCCATCCAAATGTTGCGTGAATAAGCAAAGCGTTCTTCTCCTCCAGGAGAAGCTTTCAGGTGGTTTTTTTTTTTTTAATAATTACTTGTGCTGGAGATTTAAGGGTTGTTTGTTAACATACTTTCTGGTGCGTTAAAAAATTCAGGAGTATTGGTCTGGAGCAGACGCTACAGCACTAGCAGAAGCAATGCAAATCTCCAGAGAGAGCTTCATAAGTGATGGGGTTCATAAGCTCCTTTCAGACCTGTGTCAGCTGCTTTATTGGTCTTTTCTTACATGGCATTTAAGGACAGTTTATAATTGTCAGATAGATTGGTTCCAGTTCCCAGAAATGTGCCATCCTAGGGAGTCTGGCTAATCTTTTGTTCTTACAGCCCTTTGGAAGACTAAATGTGTGATGGCAAGATTAGCCAGCTCTGAAGGTTTTCTGGAAAATGCATCCTCTTTAACCCATCCCATGCCATGCGTGCTGCTTGTGGGTTACGAACGTTGCTAATGCACTGGTCTTAGCAGAGGTGGGATGCAGGGCTATGGATGAGCTCACCCTGGGTGTGATTTCTTTGGGCTCTGAAATATCTCCAGGAGTTAATTTTTACCTTCTGTGCTTGTGAGAGTGCCCAGGACTGGTGGTGCTTGTCAGAGGTGGTGGTGGGCTTGTGATGGTGCTGGTGGGAGCATTGACCCATGGCCAGTGCAGCCAAGAAGGAGCAAGTGTTGGCTGGGATGCTGAGCTGCTGGTGCTGGTGGGGGAAAGCTTTTCCCCAGGGCTGTGGTTCATGTAGGATGTGTGGAGTGGGAGCTGCCTGGCTGAGCTCTGCAGCCCAGGGAGCAGGGAAGCAGTCTAGGCCAGGTCCCAGGGCTATTTTTGTATTTTTGCAGTGAAAGAGAGGGTGATGTGAGCACCCTGTGATGGAGGTACTACCTCTCTGTTTGACTTGTCTAATTTAGATGTTTCTCTTTCCTTGGTAGCTAGAGTTGGTGGAGAATTAGTAGATCCTCCTAATCTAACTGTGTCTAACATTGTATGTGCCATTACTCCAGGTTTCCTTTCACTGATTTTGCAGCCAGTCCCTGGGGAATGCTGGTGACCCTGTAGAAGGAACACCTGTCACTCAAAGAGGGCACCACTGCAGGAGGCAGTAGTTGCAGCAAAGTCCTGCAGAGGTGTTGCCAGCTGCTGCATTCAGATGCACTGAAAACACTTGGCATCCTCCAGATGTCAGGCTAGTTTTAATTTAGACTGTTCTTCATTTGTGTTTTTGTTCCTCTTCTGTCATATCCCTTAGATTAATTGTCATTAAATTTGCAGGAGTCTAGAAATATGCTACTGGTTTCCCTCCACAGAACATGCTTGCTTTTATCTCCCCCTCCCCTTAACCTGAACCAAAGATAACTGCTTCCTCTCAAAAGGAAGAGAAAGGAGTTTTTGGGATGAAAGCATGGTATTGTGAAAGACCTAGATGAAGTTTTTATTATTTATAGGAGTAATATCAAATGGAATTTGTGCAAGATTTTTTTAATGTTTATTTTTAACCCCTCGGAAAGCATCTTTGTGTGCATTGATTGTGTGACATTCAGGGTTGCTGTGGAGGGATGAGATTCTCTCCTGGCCTTGTCCTCTGCCACAGCAATCCTTTTATCTGGCAAAGTAGTGGGAACAAATAGAGTGCCTTGGCTGTTAAGAGCACAGCTTCACCAAAATCCAGGAGGTATTTCTGAATAGTTGTCCCATTCCCTGTTCCCTCTGGATGTCTCTTCGTCAGTGAAAAGCAGATCTAGAGAACATCATTAGGAATTGCATATTTATAACCTTTGGGTTAAAGGGAAACACCACCCATTTGAGGGGAAATGAGATCCTCTCTCATGTCATTTAGTCATGAGGTCTTGAGTGTCTTTGCCCTGTGCAGCAGGGTGCTGAGGGAAGAAGCTCCTCCTCTGCACTAGCCTATGTTCCTCCCTGTCAGCATCCCACAGGAGAGGGATGTCAGGGACATACACAGGTCTGTAAGGGATTTCCTTAGGCAGGAATGGCCATGTTGAAAGGGAAGAGTGCCCTTTTTAGCTCATGTTTTCTAATTTTGCCCTGCTGCTCCACTTCTGCATCCAGGTAACACCCCTGCCTCTGGTGGTGTGTCTGCAGTGGGAATGGTGCTACAGGGAGGAACTAATCCATGGCTGAAAATCACCTTGAGGCAGGCATATGGGGATGTCAGCTTGGGAGAGAACCCGTGTTCCAGCGTTGCTTCTCAGGACAGGGACCCTACTCTGGGACATGGCTTTGGGTAGGCATGGATGGAGGCAGCCAAATTTCTCCTCCACCTTCAAACCTGGTTCTCTTCATCATGAGAACATTTGTCATTTGTTCTGTTTCCCACCTCTCCTGTTGTTCCTCAGGTGCTGGCATTTCTGGGTTTGTTTTTTTTTTTAATAGGGGAAACAGAAAAGCAGTGTGAAGAGGAGGGTAAGAGCCAGAGCAGTCATCTCCTCTCCTCCAGTTACAATCTGAATGAGACAGGGACGTGTCCCTGGGCCTTACAGAGAGCATGGACAGCCAGCTCCAGCTGTGGTGCCCTCAAGACATGGCAGGGTGACTTCCTCTGCCTAGGAAATCAGTTCTGGTGTTTCTTGGCTGTCAGTCTCCCTTGGCCTCTCCCAAAGTCCCAGTACCCCCTGGTGTATCTCCTTCTTGTCTCAATGTAGTATGACAGCTGTCAGAAATCACAAGTCTTCACAAGTTGGAAAAATCTTTTATCCACAGCTTTTGTATAAACCTTCTTCTTTAAGGATTGACTGGTAACTTGAGACCAAACATGATTTACATGGAATTGAAGCTAAGCTCACTGTTTACCTTCCCTTCCCTCTGTACACTTCTTGCCCTTTGTTAGGGGATGCCTTCATGTTCAGACCATGCTGCTGTGGTCCTGGCTGGCTCACCAGGTCCCAGGAAAGACATCCTGGAGAGCCTGCTTTTAGTGCCCTGAATTTATGGGGCTAGGGAGAATGCTCCCCCTGCACTGCTCAGTGGGACATGGTCTGCTGAAGATCCCATCACTGCTCTGACATGAGGTGTTAATATGTGGTGGACAGAGCTGTGGCATATGTGGAAAATGTTCTCGTACTTCTCACCTGGTGTCTTCCACAGCAGGTTTTCTATGCAAATAGGGAATTTACATCTCATGAAAAAATGCATTTTTTGCTGTTTGTAACTCCTTTTGTGCCTTTGGTCACTGCTGTACTTTTTAAAGAACTAATACTTCATCTGCCAAGCACCACCTGCTCCTCCCTGCTCTGCGGACGTGATGTGCATGGACCATGCACCTGCTCTGCCTCTGGAGAGGAGCTGCCACTCCCTGCTGTGCCACCACAGGAGGTGGCCTTTTGGGGACCCTGTGCTGCTGTGGAGTGACACAACACTGGGCAGAGGGGCAGCAGGGGTCTGGGCAGCCTTGACCCCCTTCTGTGGCCTGGCAGCCACATGCATGCTTGTCTGGGAGTTCCCCAAATCTTTGAAATGCAGAAGAGTGGTTAAAACCTTTTGGCCTTTTAATGTCCTTTTTTTCCCTCTTCCCTTTTTATGGGCTGGCACATTACCAGATGTAGTCACTATTTCTTTTTTCCGCTCCACTGCCTTAATGCTTGAGCATTTGCCTTTTAAATAAACAGATAAATTACTCCCTGTACTACTGTGTGACCTGATTTCCTCTTTACTTTGGAAATGCTGTCAAACCCACTGCCACTCTGCTGCTGGCCATGCTGGGACAAGGAAATCCCTTGCTAAAGGTGGGCTCAGGAGTTGCTGGGGTGGGCAGTGCAGAGGTGGACTCCAGCTGTGCACAGCTGTTGTCTTTTCCAGTGTGATTATAGCTGGAAGAGCTCCAGGTGTACACTGCCATCGAGGTTCTTCCTGTAGTCCAGCAGCGTTCAGGGTGGAAGGGGAAGAATAGAGGTTGTACATTTCTAGGGGAGTACTAGTAATGAATGCTGCTGGAGATGGCAAAAAATGCCTCTTCCAAAAATGCCTGAAAACCCCCAAAAGAAGTGGGATAGGAAGATGTACGAAAAATGGTGTTTGGGGAGAATGTGCTGGGTTTGCTCTTTCTGAACTCTAAAGTCAAGGAAAGGCATGTGCTGGTACATTCCCCAGATGGTCAGCTGGGAGGAGAGGGAATTACCTAGGAGGGATTTACTTGAAATGTTCCTTGAGCTGCACAGCAGCCCTTTGTGCAGTGAAGTCCCTGTGTGTCTCCCTCTATGTAGGACCACAGCACTGCTGCCCCTCCCAGGCTCACACCCGTCTCTGGCTGAAGCTGGTACCAACACAAGCTCCAATCCCTGGTCTGAGATGAGAACTTCCCCTTGTGGGTCCAGAGCCATCCCAATGTGACAATATCACCAAAGCAAATCACACAGTCAATTTTCACCATCTTTATTGAATCGCAATTAACTACAATCAATGCAACTGTGCCCTTAAGGCAGTTTAATTCCCTTAGCTTTATGGCATTTTTGCTCTTTACTTTAGAAGCACTGTGCAGCAATCAAGAAGGCAAGAAGTGCCCAGTGATGAGATACATTTAGCAAGGCCAACATTTGCACGCTGCCAAGGCACTGATCCTACTCAGTGATGAAGATGCCCTTCTCTGCAGAGATCCCTTTGATCTGGTTGGAGATCAGCTTGGCTACGATTTTCTTCTCTCCTAGTCTTGTCGGAGTGCATACTATTTCAGACTTCATGATCCTGCCAGGCATTATATCCCTGAGGACAAAGGAAAAACCAAAATAGTCCCATCATTAATTTGGGTTATTTGCCACTTTTGAATAATTTCTCTTAAAGAAATAGTCACTGCATGTGTTTAGGGTGGGTATTCCCCTTCCCCCATGACCAGTTTGCAGCAAATGGGACCTGGCATGGTGGTACTGCCTGGTGGTCCCAGTGATCCTGGGGACCTTCCCCAGAGTTCCCTGTACTGCTGAAACACCAAATTCAGCTCTGAATGAAGCAGCTGTGCTCACACTTGTTGGGCAGCACAGCAGGAGCATGGGGGGAGTCCCTGTCATGCCCATCTGCCCTGAGCCTGTCAGCTGCTGTGTGGGTCTTTCTGGTCAAATGTGGTGCAGTTTCAAACACAGCTGGCAAAGGCCCCTCTTCCTGCAAATCCCCTAACCACTTCTTCAAGGATATTTAAAAAAAAGAAAAAAGCAGAGAAGGGTCCTGCCATGGTCATTTCATTGGCTCATCTCCTTACCCCAGCTCAAATGTTGTCATCTTAAATATGCCCAAGCCCTCCACCAGCAGCTTGCAGTTTTCCAGGGTCACATTCAGCTTGTTCTTGAAGATGAATGCACAGTTGAAGTCATTGTACAGACTGGCTGTTTCTGGCATCTAGCAGAGGAGGAAAGAGAGAAACAAACCCAAAGATTGGGGATTAGGGGGGGTAATAAAGATGTCAGAGCTGCTGCAGGTTTGTTCACCACCGGCACGATAGGGGACAACCCCTTCATATCCTTTCCACCCACCCAAAGCACTGTGTTTTCCCAGATGGTTTCTCAGCACATTTTTGCTTCAGGAGGAAGAGCTGTGGGCTTGGAGATGGGCTCTGTACAAACTGCCCTCTCCCATCCCCTTCCCTCCAGCAGCCCCTGCCTTCCCCTTTTAGATGGGGCAGTAATAAAACTTTGATTTCATGGCCGCTTTCAACCTTCAAATGAATGTTGAATAGTCAAATAAGACGCCAAGAACTGAGCATCCTAGGAGGCAGCTGTTTGGGAGATCCCCCTGGGAATGCTAGCACCACCTGGTGCCGCAGTGAGCCGAGCTTTAACCCTTGTCCTCCCAGAGCCCAGCTGGCAGCTGCCTCACCTGGACAGTGATGGGGGGATACTGGAATCTCATTGAGGTCTCCTTGGTGAGTTTGTCATTGGTCTCCTTGACCTCGGCAATGGCGGTGACCAGGATGAGGACTTCATCTTCCACAGAGGACAGTGTCTTCATGTATGCATCAGGTGCTATTTTCAGGGGGATCTGCGTCTCTGCAGGAAAGAAAACACAGCTTGGTGTTTCACCACATGCCCAGGAACTGGGTGGCAAAGTCGGCAGGATGTGGCATGAGCCGTATTTGCTGAGACCATCCTGCTTTCCCTTCAGTCCCTGCGGGGGGAAGCCCTGGCTGAGCGGGTGGTACCTGGCACATGCAGCCCATGGAAAGGAGCTACCTTTGTGTCCTGCCCTGCTGCATTTTGACAACAACAGTATATGAGTGAAAACACTCAGTGCTCATCAACAGCAAAGATTTTTTTTTTTCTTTTTTTTTCTTTTTTTTTTTTTTTTGAGAGTGATTCATGCTAGGAATCAGCAAGGGTTGTTAATTATTTATTATTCATTAATCTCTTGTTTAGCAAATTTCAGTTACATGGCTTAGGATCAAAAATACAAGCTAGGTTACTCAAAGATGTGCAGAGCACTGCAGCAAACAGCTCCAGGGATCAGCCAGGCAGGCAGTCATGAAGTGGGAATTTGCTTGGGCAAAGAATTCAGAAAATAACACTCACTGGCATCTCCACCACCCAAATTAGAGTGGCAAACAGAAGGACAAAAAAAGGCTGAAATTTCCAGCCATCTAAATCCTGTGAGGGATATGATCCACATGCATGCACACAAAGCCTGTGGTGACATCTTTGATGTTCAGACAGTGAGGACAGGAGGGAGATGCTTCAGCACACCTTGCTCATGCCATGAAAACCTCTGCCCACAGTGATGTATTCCCAATCACCTCCTTGAAGCTGCAGCAGGGCCTTCATGTTTTGGTCCCTGCTACAGAGGGATCCCAGTCTGTAACTGAGACTTCAAATGCAGTGAAGAGAGAGGTAGGTTCTAGGCAGGCAATTTCTGCTCTTCACAGAGTACAGGGCCTACACTGGTCTATAGTGGAGCCAGTACAAACCCCAGACTGCCACAGTAAATTAGACTACAGAACACAGCAAGATTTCTGTGCTTACCAGATGGGCCTTCAAGAGTGATGGTCTCCTTGATAGTTCCAAGATTGGCCTGAACATTTCCAGTATAGTACTGCAGCTGGCAGGAGCCAATAAGGTCAACGGTCCAGTTCCCAGGAGCAGAGATCTTCACTGTGATGGCCATTTCCAGGGGATTGCCAGGATGCAAAGGTTCTGTATTGGCTATCTCCAGGTGGAGTCCAGTCTTGGTGACTGGCTCCTTGGGGACCAAAGGCTCGGTGTTGGCACCTATTGTCTGTATAGTAGAAGCATAGCCTGAACGAGGCATCAACCCCGACGGGCGTAGGAAGCTGTAAGCTCTTTGCATGGACATCCTTTCCTCTTTGGAGCCTGGATGAAGAGAAATATGGGTGACAGCTGTATCTCAGTCTCCTCACCCAGAGCTATCTTCCCCTTATTTATGCTTCTGCTGATAAGCAGAGAGGATGTCAGAGCACCTCCAGCCTCTGCTTAGGACAACTTCTTGGTTTTTGCTACCACCAAATCTAGCTGTAGCATTCTGGCCTGGAAGAATTTCCTGGAAGAGACAATTTAGAGGATGGATACTCTTAAATATTTCAGCCTGATATTTTTGCCCTCCTCACTGAGAAGGTTTTAACAATCTAGGACAACATGGCTGGATCTTGAGAACTGTGGGAAGGAAATGTGGGATTTTTGTTTTCCAAAATGGTTTGGGGGAATGGAAAGGCAAAATGAAGAAATGAAAAAATAAAGCCAAGGTCAGTGTGACACTAGGTCCATCATTCAGCCCATTTCTTTCACTGTCTGGAGGCTTGCTCGTGTCCCTGAGGAGCAGCCTATAGGTGTCACTGCGGGCATGAGGATGCCCAGGAGCAGCGCTGCCTCCCGAGGGTCTCCAGGCCTTAGGCCGAGTTTGCCACTACAGCTACTCCTGCAGTTTTCTCCTGGAAAAACACGTGCTGTGGGGTGACCTGCAAGGTGGGGGTCTCCTCTTTGGCACTGTGTCAGAGGATGGGGGCAGTTACCTTCGGGGTACTTGTACTCCTTGGTGATGTCTACCCGCCTGTTCTGCCCCACGGCTTTTGTGCTGATGTTCTTGCCGATGGCTTGGGTCTCTGTGCCGACCTTGAAGTATTTATCCTTGCCGTTCACCTTCTTGACCACCCAGTAGACCCTGTCAGCGTTCACCTCTGCGTACACGAACTTGGCATCGTAGGGCAGGTACACATCTCCTTCCCGCACAGCCTTCACCGGGCAGGGCCCACACTGGAAACGACCTGGAAAGGGCATTCAATTCCAGCTGGCTTTCCAAACACCTGCTGTGGCTCCAGTTTTTGCTCCACACTCAGACAACATTCAAGCAGGAATCTGTGGCCATGGCAGTTGATGCTTAGCAGTAAACAGCCCTCCAACTCAGTGATGAACTCCAAACCCTCTCATTTATCCCACAGCTGCTTGGGAATTTTTTATAGATGACCAAGGTCTGGTAGGAGCTTTTGCACGTTTCCCCTTACTTAGATAATTTTAAGGTTAGAAAGCCACAGCTGGGTTTGATAAAAGGAATGGAACATAACAGTCCCTTGTCCAAACACAGGCAGTGTGCTTTAAAGACATAAATAAAATGATGTAAAAGTAGGCCCACAGGATGCTAAACATAGCTGGAACCAGTGCATAAACATATAATGAGGAATATAGTGGCTTTTGTGTCAATGTTATGTGACAAGAAACAACAGCACGTGCCCTAAGAGAAGTTCCAGGCAAGGTCATCTGTAAGGCCGGGGGTACTTGGTGAGTACAACCACCAGGGACCCCTTCAGACGACCCCCCAGAACCATAAAAGGCCTTTCAGTGAGAGGGAGATGCAAGCAAATTAGTTCTAGAAGAAGCGATGTTTATGTATTAGCCATAAAGTACACTCTAATGAATATGTATGATCATGATGGAATAAATACCTTGTTGTAAAATTTCATGATACACCCAATCAGAGGAAATACCCTCTGGCTGTTCAGCATGCTGCAATAAGGAATGTCTGCTTTCTAATGCTTCAAAATTGTGTTAGAAAGTTTCTTCCTTAGCCAATTTCAGTATCAGGTTATTAAGTCGGCTGCATCCAGACATCTCTGTTTGATCTCTAGGCAATATTCCACTTTCTGCATTTCCCTGAGGATTATCCTTTTGGTTTTGTTCCACCTTCAAATTCCCTGAACCTGTGCAGGGAGTTTTGGTGGTCACTCCTGTCATCTACCCATGAGCAGGATCATGACCCCAATGAGTTAGATGTCCTCTAACCTCTGAAACAAAATTCACATTCCCACACAGTTGGGTTTGTGCCTGCCAAGAAATGCTGTTCCTTCCATTCTGGGCTGAGGGGGCAGGAGTGAGACCTGCTGTTTTACAGTGTCACTGCCCTGGTGCATGAAGTTGTGTGTGAGGAGTACCTGGTTTGCTGACTGGGAAGCATGTTTTACACACAAAATGTCCCTGCCTCCCTCAGGACTTGCAGAAGAGCCTTTCTAGGCAAATCCTACCTTGACTTTGCTCCTGAGGGGTTGAATCAATTGCCTGCCAGCCACTAAACCCATTTGGTATGTCTGTTCTCTTCATCCAGGCATCATTCCACACGTGGAAGTTCCTGTGTGCGTTTGGGTTGGAAAGAAAAGGTGTGAGTTGTTACAGCCTGAAGAGTCATGGTCTCCTCCCTTAATCCTTTAGTAAGGACAAATTTAATGGGTACTTGTAGGTAACCCTGTGAAACCCCTGGCTTTCTCTCTCTCTCTCCTGGGCAACAAACCCCAAGCAGTAGGGAAATTCTCAAAGGAATTGCTGGGGCTGGGAAATGGGGCACTGCAAGGCAGCACAGGGTCTTTCGGGCATTGTTAGCCCCACTTGGCAGTACCAGACAGAGTCGAAGGACAACGAGTTCAGCTTTTCTCCTTTGTCGTTCAGGTAAACATCAACCCTCAGGTTCTCCTCCGTGTCGTGGGCCGCGTCGAAGGTGCTCACACAGCGGCATGGCACCCCCAGGCAACGCATGACTGCAGCACAGACAGACAAACACAGGGTCACAAAATCCTTCAGCCTGGAGGGCATCCTCTCCCCTGACCCCTCTGCCCACCCAGGCTCCTCTAGAGCAGGTGCTCAGGACTGTGTCCAGATGGCTTTTGAACATCTCCAAGGATGTAGATTCCATAACCTCTCTGTGCCAGTGCTTGGTCATTCTCACAGTGAAAAAAACTGTTTTCTCAGGTTCAGACAGCAGAACCTCCCATGTTTCAGGCTGTGCCTATCACCTCTGCTCTTGTTGTTGGGTGCCAATGAGAAGAGCCTGTCTGCACCCCACTCCTTCCTGTCAGGTATTTACACACAAGGATCAGACCCCCAAAGCCTTCTCTTCTGGCTGAGCTGTGCTGGATCCCTCAGCCTCTCCTTACAGACAGACCCTGGCCCCTCTGTTGCTCAGAGGCACAGTAATTTGGCTTACTAGCACAGTAATTGGGGTGTCAGAGAAGGGAGGCAGGTCACTGTTCACTGCTCACCTGTGTTGAGGACTCCTGCGAAGACCCAGCACTGTCCATAACGCACCGGCTTCTTGGTTTTGTAGTACTTCTGCAAAATCATCACACTCCCAATCCAATCCATAGGGGATGTTCCACTGACGTAGTTCCCTGACCAGTTCCCCAGCAGGACTCCGCTGTCATCGTTGGCATTAACCTGTGGCCACACACACAGAGAGAAAAATTAAGGGATGAGGCTGAATGAGGCTTAAACCCCAGGGTCTGTGCCTGCCCTGTGGCTTCCCTGGTACTCCACAGCCATGTGGAACCCATCAAGGCTGCTGGTCCTGGCTGGGGGCTCCCCTGGTTAGAAATTCCACCTGGATATCTGGAGAGAGGTGTAAATTCTGCTCAGGGCAGTAAAAATTAACTCTGCATCCTGTGTCTTAAGCCACAGGCCTCCAAAAGGGTCCCAGCACAGAGAGTAACTACCCACCCAAAACACAACCCTTGTCTTGGCCCCACCAACACAGCTGATGAGGCAGGACAACCACTGGGGCAGCTGCAAACTTTGGAGATGGGAACGTGCTATATTTTGGGTTGCCTCTTCCCTCCACCCCAAAATGCCTCTGTCTTTTTGCTTGCACTTTCCCAAAAGAATCCCATTCAGATGCCTCCTGAAATGGTGTTCATGGTCCCAGGGAAAGAAGAGCAAGTAAGGACGAGGGAAGATATGAAGAGGCAAAGCACTTCACTGAGAGAGGCTTACCAAAGCAGACATGGCTCTGGACACATGTGCAGGATCTCTTCTCTGAGCCAGGCTGAGCTTGCTTTTGTCCAGCAGATACATGCAGGCATCCAAGATAAATTCCTCAAACTGTTTTGGGGAGAAAACAGAGATATTTTTATATGCTGCTCTAAAACAGAATTTGCTTGTTATATTGAATTTCCAAGGCTGTGGGTCTTCCCAAAGCTGTTCTCTCCAAACAAGGGCTAAAATGAAACCCAGCCTTGTAAGACAAAAGGCTGTCTCGAGTGTCATACAAAAACAGTTGGAACCTGATCCAGCAATCTTTACTCCTGTGCACAAAAGTCACCAACGTCATCTCCCCGCAACTCTGCAAATTACTCACAAGAGTAATGAAAATTTAAGATCTCTACTGATATTTAGTCTATTGACATAGGCACAAAATGAACCTTGGAAAAAAGAAAGGTACGTAAATGCTAATTATTACAACAAAGATTCCTAATTAGCAATTGCTGATAAAGTTCCCTGAGGTCCAGTTCAGAAAGATGTCAAACATATGATCCAATGAAGCTTGTCAGAATATCAATATCAATTCTCATTGCTTAACAGCAGGATAAATATTAGGATAGGAACAGCCCTACAGATTATGCCCTTTGGCCCCTTTAGTGTAAAGGCATCAGTGTACCTTTGGGCTATGTATGTCCTGCAGACACATACTCTGCAGATAGCCTGCAAAAATTGTAGACTTATAAAACAAAACAAAACAAAACAGAAAAAACCCAGATTTGAATGGTTTTTGCTGGGGATTTCTGTCTGGATAGGGTGGGATATACCATGCTTGGTGCCTGTGTGCTTTGTACAGGGTGAAAATAAATCTGCTCTGGCATCTACCTCTTATCTCTAGCCCAAACCAATTTGACATTCCACTCCTCTGGAGTTATCTCAGAGGCAGCGCGCAGGAACACCTTTCCTGAGAGAGTGGCTGATTGTGTCCTGCCCACAGCTGTCAGTGAAGGCATCACTTGAAAGGTGATAACCTCTGCCAGTAATTTTACCCTCTTTATTCCCAATTATGATACAACAGGTAAATCAGATTTTTTTTTCCCCATCAGCCCTCTCCATGTCTCATTAGCTGATGAACAGCACCTACAGTTGCATGAGAGCAGGAATTCCCTTATGGGATTTTTTTCAATCAGAAATATCCTGTCCCCAGTTTCCACATCCTTTACCAGGGGGTCACATCATCTGACTATAAATGTGCCGCTAAATCCCATTCTCCAGCTGTGGGTGGGGAACACATGTAGGCACACAGGTTACTCTAAGCAGGGGAGCCCTCCCAGTGAAGCTGGCAGGGTCATTCCAGCACTTTGAGCTACTCATGGGCTCCATGCTGAAGGGATGAAGAAGGGTAATAGGGCTGACAAGACAGCTGTGTTTTACCTGCCCGAAATTCCAGGGCCTGTCGTAGATGCTGTACGCAGACCCAACATAGATGGTGCCAGTGTCGTTGAGCACATATTCCTCCTTCTCTGCATCATTGGCCATGTAGACAACATCATCTGCAGAAAAAAATCCCTCAGATGTCAAGTGGTTTGCACACCCTGTATGAAATCTTCCATGAAAAGCTAAACTGGGGTAACCAAGGATCTGCAACATTCACACAAACAGATGACCGTGCAGCATTCCCATTTTTTTGCTCCTATCATAAAAGAATTTCCAATAAGACTAATCTTTAATTTCCCCTTGTAGGTCCATTGCTATGTGACCACTCTTCTATTATTGCCAAAATCTTATTTCTGAACACTGTGGAGTACTAGGTATACAACAGAGAGAACTGGGGAACTGATGCCCACCAACCACACAATTTTTTATTCTGGTTATATTCTCTGGATCTTAAACCAACCCAGTTCCCTCAGTTAATCTTTGGCTGGCTCAGGGAAACAGAGAAGGATGATACAGAGGTGCAAACAGATGTGACAGATAGATGTCCCTCTATGTCCTGGCACTGGAGAATATCCAATGAGGAGCCGGCTTGTTGCTATTGCTCAGCTTCCCACTGTCTCCACGAGGATGCTGCTTACAGTGTTTTATGGGGAAAAAGCAATGTATGTAAGAAAGGAGAATAGGGAAAATATGAGGCAAAAATCCATCTGGGACAATCCCTGGTAGGAGTAATTATCACTCCCAGTTGCAAGACCACTCACCTTCACACCAAGGATTGAACAAAAGGTAGATGACACCATTTTCAGGCCTGTAAATGTTACTGCCAGTCTTCACATGCAGGTTGTATTTTCCCACAGGGGCATTGGGCGAGCTGGTGACAGACAGCAGGCACTGAGGAGACAACAAGGAGAGACAGCATGAGGGACACCCCACCATGGCCACGTGCATGGCACAAACATGGTGCCACAGAACTGGCACGAGTGGCAAAGCTGGGGGCCATGCAGATCCCTGTGGGGAAAGAGGGGAAGGCAATGGGATAAGGCAAAGCCTGCCTGTGCATGGGGGGAGCAATGAAATAAGCAGGACAAGGCTGCTGCCAATCTAAAATCACAGAACCAAGGGAAGCAGGACAGGGACATGAGGATGCTTTGCTCTGTAGTTTCTGATGGCCTTGGTACTGGGCATTGGGCCCCTTGCCCACAAGCTTTACCTCTTTGCCTTTCCTCTCAACCATGGAGATTTTCCACCCATTGAAATCCTCCCGCTCCGGTTTCAGCGACAGCAGGCTCCCATTGTTTTTCATTGGATTTTCACCTGGAAACATACCCAAGACAATATGTGTGAGGGTTGCACAGGTCTGCAATGCCTGTGCAGTGCCGAGAAGAGGCAGCTGGATGCTCCTGGGGCTCTCTGGCTTTGCCTGGTGGGCGCAGAGGGACGCCTGCTTACCGATGCCAAAGCGCAGGGTCAGCTTGTCGGCAGCCCTGAGCTCCCTGCTGAGGCTGACCTGCACCTGGAAGGGCTGCCCGCGCCTCACCACCAGGCTCTGGATGTTGTACCCATCCGTGTGGTGCTGCCGCGTGTTCTGGCTCTTCAGAAAGTCAACCCCAGTGACTTTCAGACCGCTCTCTGGAAAAACATCAGGAGACGAGGAGAAAGGAGAAAGGAGAAAGAAGAGATGGTGATTTTCTCAGTAAAGGTAGTTTTCTTCTTCTTAATGCGGCCCTGTGAGTCATCAAAATATCTAGAGTAACAAGAGATCTAGCAAAATACAATATAAAATAAAATAAAATTTTAAAAGACACAATATTGAAAATGACTGCCTCCTCTCGGCAGCTCTGGATGGGATCAGGGCCAGGAAAAGCCTCAGCATCTCTGTGCCCAGTGGTTCGTGGTTCAGGGCTGTGGCATAGGAGTGGAACTTCGAGAGGCACAACCCAGTGATACACCTGAGCAAAAAGAAAGCCCTCAGCTTTGAATGATGATGGAGATTTGGGGGTCACTGCATCAGGCTTTGGCAGCCTGCCCAGTTGTGACAAGAAAAGCCAGAGCATGCTGGAATGTGGCTGAGCTGTATTTCTTCGGGAGCGTTTATGTCTTGTACCTGCTCATTAAATATCCTCAAAGGATGAATTCTGTGTGAACAGCAGGGAGTAACAATACCTCATAAGCACTCTTCTCATGAGTGATTCAGATGAAGATGTGGGAGAGGCAAAAACGGGTTACGGTAACCTTTGATATTAGCAAGTCAAAAGCATAATGGTTGAAGAGATTAATTCACCAAATGTCTTGACAGATTTGCATGGTACCTGGCAACCATGTTATTATCAACAAGAACCATCCCTAACACAGAAGAGGCTGGAATCTGCTGGTAGCTGGTGTGGCATGGGAGATGCCACATGCAGGGCTAGTGTCAGGGCAGGCTGAAATCAGCAGCACGCTTCCTACTGCAAGCTGTGCTGCACAGCGACTGCAGCCCTGAGTAAACAGAACTGACCACCTCTGGATCCCCACCCTATCTCTGTGTATTTCTTCTTCGTAAATATATAAACCATATTTATCTTCATTACATACCAGATATAACTGGCACAACAAATAGACTTATAATTGACCAGCATCTTTTGTTAACCAGCTTAATATTTGAGTGCTTTTTTGTTTGCTTGCTGCATGCCAGTAGCCAGCCTTGAGCTGACATTTTGCGCAATGGGGTGTGTGTGCATTTATATCAAAAAATTTCAGCTGGAGCTAGCTGCTTAACCCTCTTGAGGACAAAGAGGAAGTGCATCTTCCTCAGCATTAAGAAATCTCCAAACACTAAAGTTGCTCAACCTTGTTCTTTATGGAAAACCCTGGCGCTGGGCTGAGGAGATCCCAAAAATTCTTGGCCCTGGGAGAGGGATGCAAAGGGATATGAGAGTTGAACACATAGGATAGCTGTGGGAAAGGGCCCAAGGAAATCCATTCACCCAGCATTTCTTAACTTAGGGACTGCATATCCATCCCATTTCTGGACATCACCAGTGCTGTTGAGGATGCAGGGAAGATTCACTGACAACAGCTGCCCTAGAGCATGGCCTGCCTGTGCTGAGCACTGTGCCAAAGACCTGTCTCCACTCAGCACTGCCCGTCAGTTGTGCTGCATTTATTCCTGTGCAAACACACCTGTGATACCCTGTGACCTGACTGGCACAGCGTCCTGTGCCAAGGAATGCCTCAGAGTGAGCCAGTGGCGCACCCATCACCACATCCCAGGGGGCTTGGCCGCAGCTTGCCTTCCCTGGGCAGCCCTCACCTGCTGCTTTTGTCTTCCTGCCCTGCTTCCTGCCCATGGAGCTGGGCCCCCACACACCCTGAGTCTGGCTGCCTGCAGGCACCTTGGTGTGCCAACACGGAAATTCATGATTTACAGAAGAGCTGAGTATACCTAGAACACGGAGGACAGAGGCTCAGGCTGTGAGAGGCAGTTCTGTTTGTGCTCATTCCTGGGCCGGGCCAGAAGCAAGCCCAAACCTCAAATCCTGTCAGATTTCTTTTCTTTTTTAATAGAAAAAAAAATCAAGGCAGTATTTTGTCACCTAGTTCCATGATTTATCCTTTATAGAACTCCTTTCTACACTAACCCACAAGCCCCATTGCATCACTGCCTGCCTGGAGAGATGTTCAGAGCTTCAAGAGAACAGTGATCAAAGATGGACATGAGACCTTGTCACTGTAAGTATGTGGGGCCTTCTTTCCCTTATGATGAGGAGGTGATGGGGTTTATAACCCTATCAATATGGAGCAGGGTATTTATAGTATGTCTGGCTTCAGTGGGAACAAGGGCTGCTCAGAAGGACAGAAGAGAATGGGAATGAGAACTGTAGTTTTTCAAGACAGAGCATAATTTGTATACCTGCACTTCCTCCTGATTTTTGCCCAGCCTCCAGGCAAACACTCATGCACATCCCAGAGATGTGAGATCACATCCCAAAGATGCTGCAGTCCAGGACTTGGAAAATTTCAACTCATCCGCACTCAAGAGTACAGAGGTTTAAAACTGAAGGACTCAGAGCGGTGTTAAAACACCCCTCCCCTCCTGAAAGCCATGGAGACCTGCTCCCAGCTCTGCTGCGGGCACCACCCAGCCCACATGTGCATCTGCTCAGCTACATCCCAAACCCCAGGGGTTCTGGGCATTCTGAGGCTGGGCTGGGCTGGCCAGTGGTGCTGGTTCAGCAGCTGCTGCAGGAGTGACCCAGGCACCTTTCTAGGTAGGTGCAGGATCTCCTGACAACAGGGCAGGCAGGACAGCCATGGGACAGAGCTCAAGCCCAAAGAAATCCTCCTTTCGGTTATTTTGAAACTTCAGATGCTATCAGCCATCACTAAGGAGCAATAATCTACATGATAAAGTAGCCTGAAAGAAAGAAATTATTTTAACATTGATGTGGAACAAGTTTAAAAGAGCTGCATTTCTTTCCCATTGTCACTGACAGAACCAGATGTCTACAGGTTGAAGAACAGTGATGAAAAATGAGCTGTGTCTTGCAGTTAGTTTACCAATCTGTCAAAAACAGAATTTGCACAGCCAGAGCAAACTAATCCCCTGTGAGCATCAAAACTTCTTTCCTCAAGGTGTCACCCATGGCAATCAGAGAGCTGAGAACCTCTGGAGCTGCAATCCTCCCTGCAGGAGACTTGTCAAACTTCACACCTAACATATGTCAAGCATTAAAAACTCACCAGTGTTGCTGAACATGGTTCTTGTCAGAGTTTCTACCCGAGATGCTTGCAGTGCCAGCAGCTTCCAAACTCCTGAGCAGTCTCTGCCACTTGCTTCTGAGTGTGGAGAAAGAAGACAGACTGCCCTTTTTATCTGTGTCTTGCTCTGAGGTGTCAGCAGGTCCACTGCCAAGGGGTGGTGTTTCGAGAAAGGAAGTTCCTGTGGAAAAAAAAAAACTACAACTCCCTCTGCACATAGTCAGACCCTGAAAAACAGCGAAACTTAAATCCCGACTCACATGGAAGGTGAATTTGCATAATCAGATGACAAGTGGACAGACCCTTCACTGACAAACAGTAAAATCATGGGCTAGGTGAGTAACAAGAATTCACCTATGCCCTAATATCCAGGTCACCAGGACTGCAACTCCAGGGCTAACTTTACAAGGAAGCACACAAACATTTATTCCTTAGGAGAACAGAATTCCCCATTAGGACCAGTCTAACATGCTTATAAGTTAATGAGGTTTCTGTCATCACATTTGGGACAGAAATACTTGAAGCCGTGGGCTAAAATCCAGCATTTAAACATGTGGGTTGGAAAGCTGAAGGATCCTAGCACTGGCCCCCTCCTCACAGGATGAGGTGGACTTCAAGGGACACAGCCCAGTGGGAGCACTGAGTGGGAAAGAGGAGAATCAGACTATGTCCAGGAGGAGAAAGAAATGTGATGGAACAGGAGCTGTTTTCTGGCTGCTCTTTGTTTGCAGCTCTGCCAAAGGTCTCTGCCAGGACATGGTTGAACCCCACATGCCTCACTGCCACCCTGGTCCTCAGGGCAACCAGAGATGGAGAGATGAGCCTACAGCACAGAGAGGAGAGCTGGTGGTATACAGGCCACCAGTGACACGGGCACAGTGTCCAGAAAGAGATACAAATGTCCCCAGGCACCCAGAAACTTAGAGATGGCTCAGCTGTGGGAGCAGCCTCAGCCTCCTGATGCCTCCCTCAATGGGAGCAGCCCAAGGTTCAGTAAGGTAGAATTCTGTTTTCAAGGCTGCCCCGTCTAAATGTGGGTTCTTCCTAAAGAAGATCTCCCTGTGGAAGCCTTCAAAGGCACCGACTTTTCTCCACTGGTTTGGGTAAGCAGGTATTTCCTTTTGGGAGGACAGTTTCCCTTGGTGCAAATGTGGAGCTGAGTTAGCAGATACCACCCTCCGAGCATGTCACTGCTTGCTGGCAGGTGTGTGTTGGGTGTCCTTGCTTGAGAGCATGACTAGGGCACCACAGGGCACCGAGGGTTCAGCACACATCCCTAATCTCACTGGACATCTGAAGATGAACAAGAACATTGGAACCACCAATGTTCTCAGCAGACGGAGCATCACTCAGCATTCAGCCCCAGACAATGCGCTGGCAATTGCGTATTTCACTATTGACAAAAACGCTGCAGCCCTGATTTACCTTTCCGTGCCCCTTTTATTCTGCATTTCCTTCCTCCTAGGGGGTGAAAGACATTTTTGTTTAGGAGCAGTATGGGATGAAGTGAAGTACACACGGAATGTCAGTACAACAACATAACCAGTAATGCGTGTAATCTGAACATTTATGATGTATCTTACTGGTTTTCACTTAACTGCAGCAAGAGTAATCCACATCAGCTGAAGTCACTGACAGTAGTTTCCTAATCCAGTCTCAACCTGTTTTATACATCATTCTATGCTTGGTTGGAGGCATCTTAAATTGTGTTGACACAATAGTCCTACAGCAAAATTACAGATTTTTGCAAACAGGAACAGATTTATGTTGGTAACACTTTGCTTCTGAAAAAAATGTTCTATATTTGTGCTGGAGGGTGAGCAAGGGAAGCAGGGCATGTATTCACCAGGGACAGTCATACTTCCAGTCCTGTAGAGTTTTGCAAAACTTTGATTTCAACAGTGTGCTTGTCCTGATCCTCACTTTAAACCTCAGAGTTCAAGGAAAGATTGTAAAAATTATATGGATGTGGGTTCTGCCCTGCCACCTTTGAACTTACTCCATCTTGGAAGGTGGCTGACCTTTTCTGGGGGGGAGGTTTGGCCACTGGGGCATGGTTTCAGTTCTCCTTTTGCTTTGTGCAGCTGCTGCTCTAGCCTGTTCCCATTATCTTTCTCTACACACTGGTAGTATCTCAATTCAACAAAACTAAACTTGGCGCATGGTACCACACTCCCAACACAACCTCCCGCCCCTGGCTCGTACCAGCCTGCCCTGCCAGGAAAGGCCATTGAACTCTAATACTCTCCAGGAGTTGTTGGCAAGGTCTGAGAAGAGGAATTTCAGCTTAAACTACAGGAATGTTTTTAAAAGATGTGGTTTCAAGTTTTTTCATGTTGTCAGCAGGTGATCTTTATCTTTTTACAGGTAAACCTCCTGTCTTTGCTGATCAGAGTGGCTGGCTATGGTTCAGCTCCATGGCTTTTTTCTTCTTGGTGAAGCAATGAAAAAGCCCATTTTAATTTCATTTTTTTACCCCCAAACAGTTATAACAGTTAATCACTTCAATCTTTCTCACAAAACTATACTCTTTTAATTAACAGTAGGAGAAGATTTTTTCCCCCACAGGCAATCTCCCTATTCCCAATAATTTCAGCAACTTACTTCCCAGCTTGCAAAATAAGACAACAGAGGCGGTGAGCCGTATCTACATCTGTCTGTTGCAAGGTCACCTTATTAGCTATCACAAGAAGGTAATAAAATGCAAACAAATAAAATAAAATTCCCCACTGGCTGCTCCCCTATTTGCAAGCTTGCCTTTTGTCTCAGGTTTTGTTTATTTTGTGTATCAAAAATGACAAAACAAGTCAAACTTCCAGAGCATGACCACAGGTATCGATGCCAAATACGAAAGACAAATCCTTAGCTTAACGTTTTCATTCATATGCAACCCCTTGAGAAGCTGCCCTTTATAACAGCAATTTACCGAGCTACATTTTTTATAAACACCCGAGGCTTTAAGTTGATTTTGTTTTGTCGGGTTTTTTTCCTATGTCTAGTCAGAGTAACACTCAAAATAAATAAGAGATCAAATGGTTTCCTTTTCGGTGCTCTGGAAGGGTGAACTCATCCTGTCAGCCTTCCCACGGGGTTGCTCTGAGGTGTCAGAGGGTGAGCAGTGCATGTGGGACGGAACACATGGACACAGCCCCTGTCTGGATCCTGATGGCACCACGGTGAGGAGATGTCCTCCACTGACCACAGCAGGACTGCTCCCACGTGCACCACCTAGTAGGTGTTGAGTCCTGCCTGAATCACGGCCTAGGGAGTGATAAGTAGTGAGAAATCTTGGGGGTGTCCAAGACAAAAAAAGCACAGAAGAACAGCTGAGGATCTGGTCCATCTCATTTGAGCTGGATGTGAGGTGCTACATAGGTCCTGCTCTCACAATTTCATTAAGATGTACCTCAGTCTTTAGGAATGTCCTAGTATTGAGACACATCACATCCACACAATGCTCCTGGTGTGCCAGTGCTGCTGTTACTCTGAAAGGAGCATTGATTTGATCACTTCTCACTCACATACTTCGACCATGGACCATGACAGTGGTCTGTGCCCACAGGGCATCCCGTGTATCCAGCAGGCAGATTCACTTCTAATCCAACATGAGCCAGCTTGTGGTAGGCATTCGGACGTCAGGGGTTGATGAAAGATGGCCAAGCCCAGATCTTAACTGATTCCAAGTCATCTGGCCCCACATACCTGGTAATGAGTTTCTCACAGGCAAATACCAGAGAAGTGATTGATGCCAGTATAATTATTATGGAAATTCCACTGTTTCACAGCATCGTGAAGTCATAGACAATCCTGAGTTGTAAGGGACACACAAGAGTCATGGAAGCCCAACTCCTTCCTTCCAACTAAATGCTGAAAGAGGATTTTTGGACCTAAGTTAGGGATATAGGTGACTGACTTTGGACATTTACCTGCAGAAGGAATGAAAACTGTTATCACCCTGTGCCCAACCCAGCACCACCCAAGGGTTCTGCTCCTGAAGAAGGCAAAGACAGACATCAAACAGCGACCATTCCTCCACATATATCAAACGTAGACTTACAGCTACTCAGGCAAAACACTCTCCTGCCCTGAAAGAGACGTTCTGTGGGCCCAAAAACTGAGGTTTTAGACCACTGACAAAAGAGAGAGCTGCTTTAAGAGCAAGCCAAAATTCTATGATGTTAAAATATTTTTTAAGATCCCTTTCCTGGCAAAGGTGCAAAAGGCAAAATTGCAATATCAGTCTAGATATATGGAGCAACAACGTGTGAAGGCTGAACCTGGAATTTCAGTACTATGACTTCTTGATGCTCAGTTCTAGTACAACTGTTGCACTGGAAACACTGAAATATGCATGCTCCAGTGCCAAGATATTATGTATTAGTCTAAGACAACTCAACATGAGGTACTTCTGCTTCTCGGCAAAACACTCTAGAATTTGTCATGTTTTAAAAATATTTGCCCACTTTTTGAACCTGATGAGCCAGCTAGCCTCTGCTGCTTCCTGCAGGCAGGAGTTCCTCATCCAAATGACACACTGCAAGAAGAGGAAGCTCCTTTGGCTTTGACGCTTGCTGGCTTCCCTTGTGGCCCCCATCCTTGTGGCAGAGGAGACAATTGACAGCTCACCTTCTCCATTATTCTAGCTTACTTTCTCCATGCAACTTAGGGTCTTCTCAGCCCCTATTACAAAGCACCATGGTCTCTTTTGCAGTCTGAATGGCCCTAGCCTGCTAACTCCCTCCTCACACCTTCATCCCATCCAGAAACCTGAAATGGGGAGAAGGACCCCCCTCACTATGCCATCTCATAACCTACAGTGTGTGTTTGAAAAGGGTCCAACAAGTGGGTGGGTGTAGTTATTCCAGGGCTGTATCCACCCTACTGCCACTGACCCATGAACTTGCTTGCATGTATGACCACACTGACTGATTGCAGTGTGAACACATACCCACAGCCTACACCTAAAGCAAACAATATGAAAAGGTACGAGGAAAAATA